GTGAATTTCTATTATTATCATTATTATTCCTGTATGCCAACTGACGTGGTCTAAAGAAGATTATACTGTACTCTGAAGGTTTTTACCGAGAAAGTAGTGAACGATTGGATGATAAAATAAATGCATTGTGTAGCGCTTATATTATTAACTGTCAATTTATGACAGGTACCCGACATCAAAAAGGTCATTGCAACAGAAAAGTTCTATAGAGATATCTTCATATTTCAAATGACCTTTCAAATTCATACATTTGGTTGAGTAAAACTTTGTGACGAGGTGATGTATTATATAAGTTCTGGTAGGCATCATAGATGATGAAGTGTGTTGAAGGTTTTTAGAGTTCAGTCTAGTACCAGTAATAGATCACCGGTCAGTGTGAAGACATTTCTGTACCGATATTTTTGCACTTTATATTGCGGTGAGCCATATCCAGCGGTTTGTCTCGCCTCAATAAATCAATGTTTAAAAAAAATCAGTATTGGCATTAGTACTTTCTTATGCATGTAGCTACAAGTGTTGGGAATCGGAAGTGGAAATCATAATCGATTATCATTATTATTTTAATGAACGATTATCGATTATAATCGGAATATCCAAATTCTATTAAATCTTTTTGAAATATGTGTAATTATGATGGTGATCACTTAGAATTGGGATTAGCAGTATAATTTTGCCATGTGAAAATCAAAGGCTGACTTGGTATATCCATATGACAGTCTTTTATGCTTTTACACTATTTGTTTACCTACTATTAAAATCTGACTAAGAGTAAATCTGACAGATATCAACAGAAAACATTTAACATTTAAACAGATTAATCGATTATAAAATGTGTTAATCACTTAATTTGAATTGTTTGTACAATCAATTGATTTTCGATTGTAATCGATTATCGGAACAACACTAGTAGCTATATATAAATTTTGCATCCAGATAGTAAGAATGGAGGCATGGTAGTCTAGTAGAAGGACGCCGGGCTGGTGACCAAAGGGTTGCGGGTTTGAGTCTCGTCACAGCACTGTGTTGTATCTTTGAGCAAGATACTTTACTCTGCTTGTTCCAGTCTACTCAGCTCGGAACGGATTGTAGACAGAACTTGAAGACAAATGAACATATAACTATTTATTCTAAATCAATAATACATGCAAAATAGACTTTTTTGTTGCTATATGAATTGATAAGGAAATTAACATGAAGTTATCAGATATATCACAATAAACTAAGATGGGAAATAGTACCAAAGATGGAACACATTTACAGAAACTAGATAATGTCTGTAAGACATGAATGCCCCATCGCCATGTGAAATGAGTTTCAGTGTTCGATGATCGACGGGATGAGACGCGATGGGGCGGGACGGGGGCGGGACAGGGGCGGGACGAGATGGGACGGGATGTCGACAATGGGCAACACTATATGCACCAACATTTTATGGCGGTGGCATAAAAACTGCAATTTTAAACTGAATAAATGTCTAACAAAATTGTAACAAACCAGTCTTTTAATCCTGTCATCAAGTGTTAATAGTACTGATTGATTGTAAAAACACCTCACTCCATCTTTTGCTGGCCATAACTAGCTAAACCATTCATGTGTACTAATATCCAATATTAGGAGTATCTCTTGTGTCAGGTGCATTTACTTTGAAGTACAAGGTAGATACTACGAGGTCTCATCTTTAATAAGTTTCTGGCGTAGTAACATTCCAATTTTTGGTAAGGTGGTGGCGATATTATATAAGTTTCCAAACAGTAATAAGAGCGTAGCTCTCGGGCGCCTAAGGCGCCCGAGCGAAGCTCTTTAATGGTAACACATGCGTGCATAAACAGAGTTGCTTCCCCTTTCTACACCTTGCCTTTAATTTTTTTCGTCCGAAAGTGTGTCCTTGAAGCAAAGACAATTGTGTTTAACCCATATATGAATATCTTCATATAGTGAAAACAATACCCGTGTTTTATTACTTTTGATAAAACCTGATATGCATTCTGAGTGAAAAAAACCCTATCATCTACATTTTTATACTAGCAGGCATAAAACGTCGTTCAGAGATTATCATACTGTTACGTCACAATTTACGTCACACTCCATCGGCCTGCATCGGTTATATCGGGAAGTATTAAAAATTACTGGAAAATCTTGGAACTGATGGCCGTTGCATTTATCTCTTTGTCAGTGGTTCATGACTTTTTCATTTCAGTTTTTGCCACAGGCACAAAAAGTAAAAACGCGAATGTTTTCTGGAGATCCTTTTTGTCATCAACCAGGTTCTGCAAATATTTCTACCGGGAGATATTTTCAAAAAGAGCCGCATTAAACCAATAGGTCAACGTGTACATTTATTTTTCATCGGCTGAAAATTCATCAGCTTTTGATTTCCATTTGTTGAGAATATGAACTAAATAATTAACATTTTTGAAAGTCTGGTTATAGTCTATACATAATTTATGTATGCATCACCACTCGTAAAAGAAACAATGGTTAATTCATCCAGACAACCAACCCAAGTTAAACGCCCTTTTTCAGTGTCGTATTGCTTTTTCACAATGCGTGCCAATTTATAACTAGTTACAGACAGAAACTGTTTAATTTTATTTGGCATCATTACATGTCAAACCTCAGTGATTGAAGTGAGTTACAAAATTTGAAATTCAATCCGGTGTAAATTTCAGGATGGAACAGGAATTCTAAATATCTATATAACGACAATCTCAGTTACATCAAAGTATTACAATGTTTTTCTTTTTTTAATTGCATTTTTTTTAATTAACATCTCTATACATTTACTTTTATAGACTTATCGTCAAATATGTAATATGCACTTTTTTCTATAGCAATAATCAAACAGTATTTTCCCACCTTATTTCAATCATTCTTTTTGTGACATGACGGAAGCACGCAGAGGATTCAATTCTTAATGTGGGAGGAAGCTGGAGTATCCAGAGAAAACTTGCGTGGTCGGGCAGGTAACTGAGATTGAATCCGGACATCTTGGTGAAGACGAGCGCACTATCCACTGCGGCACCTGAACCATCATATACGTTACACACATGAACAAATATCTACTTTAGCTTTGAAAATGGTGTCATTGATGCAAAAATTATATTGTGAATATATTTTTACCAATCATCAATGATACAAAAAATCTACATACGGGAGATCGGGGCAGGTTCGGCCACCCCTGATATTTTTGTTTTTGAGCTTGTATTTACAACTTAAAGATCTTAGCAGTTTAGTTGGCTGGGCATTCACATGAAAAAATGGCGAGGAAAACTCTAATGTAAAATTACTAAACAGGAGAAAAGTACTTTTGAGAGGGTAAATAGAAAATCATCTTGCTTCCTGTTATGTGAACTTTCTGTAAACGGAATTGCTATTTTTTTACGGTCAAATGTGTAACACACTGACAGTTTCAAATGATATACAGTTACATAAAAGCAAAGCCAAGCACTCACTACCATATTGCTGTACGATAAGAATTTATTGAAATATCAATTTGGGCCCGAACAGTTTCGGCCAATGATACGTTGGCAAGTTCGCACCACGTATCACAAAAAAGTTGTAAAATTGGCGGTAAAATCTGACGTTGCATGCTTTAATAACGTCATAATTAAGCTGATTCCAATGGGGCCGAAATTGCCCCAATGCCTGTCCGAACTTATTCCATTGCGGGGCTAGTTCGGCCATCCGATCAACCGACAGGAAAAAAAATTCAAAAATTCAAAAACGGACGTGCTGCCATACTTCCCAGGACGGAGTTTAATAAAAATTGGCCGAATTTGCAGCTATCTCCCCTATTGTTTTGTCGGTCTTAATCTCATTAGAGTTTTTGTTTCATTGTTATCCCTAGACAAGCCGACTTTAAATAAATTTCATCTTGGCTTATTCTGAAAGCAGTATTATCTTATTCTAAATCAGTAAATATCAGAGATCAACAAAAGCTGCGCTCTTTTAAGGCTTTGCCTTTTCATATTACATTTCATTCCTACTTCTTTGATATCTACAATGTGTATGTATACGTTCACACGGTATCAATTGGGATCTCAACGAAATCCAACTGACCCCGGAGTGGGAACAAACCCAGTGATGTGTCAAATCATCACTTTCCATGTCTCGATTTGTGTAACATGTAGTTATATTAATTAATAGAAGAACAATTAAGAGTACCGCGGGGCGGAACAATATACGCCCGTCGAATACCATATAGTGTTATATAGTTTCTTACATTGAAATAAGATCTGCATCATTCTGAGAGTGATTGGCTGACATGCTGTAACACTACAACACTCACCCTTTCACAACTAAGTTAATGTTTAATTTTTTAACTTAAATGTGAAAAGGCATGGGAAAACCTATCTCTGGATTTTCTACAATCATTTGGCTGGCCAAAGAGAAATATCAGGGAACAACAATGAAAAAAGGTTGAATCTGAAAATTAAATTGGTGGAAATTAAAGCTAAATGCTCACATTGACGTATCAAAAATCAAAATTGTCAATATTTTAAGGAATACAGGTAATCAGAGGTTAGTCTCCAACTCATTAAACACAAGTTGACTTCATGATTAAATCAAATAGATTGATTGAAAAATGTAGGAGAAGATCGCCGGACAAAAATCAAATACTGAAATAAAACAAAGGGCAATAACTTTTGCAAAAATTGTTGAATCAAAATTCTTTAAATGGAGACAAAATTTCATATCATAGTTATAATGTATACCAAGTTTCAAAGAAATTGGTCGAAAAATGTAGGAGGAGATTGTCGGACAAACAAAAGTTTACGCCGGACGGAGGGGCAGGCGACGCCATACGATAATACTCCCGTCAAATTTGACGGGCGTATAAAAAGGTAAGAAAGGTATGAGAGATATCTTTAACCGTTTCACCACTGTATACCATGATGGACCCATCCATATCAATGCATGGTAGAGTCAACTGAAGTTACTTAGAGGTGAAAGGATTAAGAGTCTCTACTGTTCCTCTTAGAAAAAAAGACAAGACTCACCATTGATAGATCCTTTCCCTGTGTCAAGGTTATATGATGAGGCTAAAAGGGTGTCGCCATGGTAACATAGACTGTCTGTCATGCCAAACTCTTCTGAATGGTTCATCAGCTTGCTGACTTCCCCTTCAACAAAACGGTGGTATTTTTAAAATGTATCAAGAAAATGTTTTTATCAGTTTGACCGATCTGATGATGAGTTGTTGGGTAATTATGATATCCTGTTTTGTAATCCTTTACCTTTCTTCCAGTTGAGAACCTTGATATTGGTCCCTTCATCCCCGTAATAAACAGTATCCATGGCAACAGCCATGCCCCTGATTGGTCGTTCCGTGAGGTTACACCCAGGTGCAGGCTTGACGTTTTCAGAGGCAAACAAACACGACAAATGTCCGTCTTTGACATCAAACATTTTTACGAGTCCTTCTTCTGAACAGCAGTATACCAGACCGCCGTGTACCTGTTGATAAAGACAGTCTGTATAAATACTAATTATGCAATGTAACACGAGAGAGAAATGCACGGCCAGACCAGGATTTGAACCAGGCCCCTCCAATGTAACACGAGAGAGAAATGCACAGCCAGCCCAGGATTTGAACCAGGCCCCTCCAATGTAACACGAGAGAGAAATGCACAGCCAGCCCAGGATTTGAACCAGGCCCCTCCAATGTAACACGAGAGAGAAATGCACAGCCAGCCCAGGATTTGAACCAGGACCCTCCAATGTAACACGAGTGAGAAATGCACGGCCAGACCAGGATTTGAACCAGGTCCCTCCAATGTAACACGAGAGAGAAATGCACGGCCAATCCAGGATTTGAACCAGGACCCCCCAATGTAACACGAGAGAGAAATGCACGGCCAGACCGGGATTTGAACCAGGACCCTCCAATGTAACACGAGTGAGAAATGCACGGCCAGACCAGGATTTGAACCAGGACAATCCAATGTAACACGAGAGAGAAATGCACGGCCAGACCGGGATTTGAACCAGGACCCTCCAATGTAACACGAGTGAGAAATGCACGGCCAGACCAGGATTTGAACCAGGTCCCTCCAATGTAACACGAGAGAGAAATGCACGGCCAATCCAGGATTTGAACCAGGACCCCCCAATGTAACACGAGAGAGAAATGCACGGCCAGAACGACTCTTTACCAATCCAGACACCAGGTTGCCAGTCCACTTCTGCAACATTTCACACTCCTTTATAAAACTTCATCCCAAAAAATGATGTGCTGTTGTATCTGAATGTAGATGAATATGTATTCCCTGGATATACATATAAAACAAGGCAGACAAGAGTTATGTACCTTTAGTCCTGTGATGCCGAATTAAACTGTCTGGTACTCTCCAGGTTTTCACTACATTGCTTCCAGTTGAGAACCTTGATATTGGTCCCTTCATCCCCGTAATAACCAGTATCCATGGCAACAGCCATGCCCCTGATTGGTCGTTCCGTGAGGTTACACCCAGGAGCAGGCTTGACGTTTTCAGAGGCAAACAAACACGACAAATGTCCGTCTTTGATATCAAACATTTTTACGAGTCCTTCTTCTGAACAGCAGTATACCAGACCGCCGTGTCCCTGTTGATAAAGACAGTCTGTATAAATACTAATTATGCAATGTAACACGAGAGAGTAATGCACGGCCAGACCAGGATTTGAACCAGGACAATCCAATGTAACACGAGAGAGAAATGCACGGCCATACCAGGATTTGAACCAGGACCCTCCAATGTAACACGAGTGAGAAATGCACGGCCAGACCAGGATTTGAACCAGGACCCTCCAATGGAACACGAGAGAGAAATGCACGGCCAGACCAGGATTTGAACCAGGCCCCTCCAATGTAACACGAGAGAGAAATGCACAGCCAGCCCAGGATTTGAACCAGGACCCTCCAATGTAACACGCGAGAGAAATGCACGGCCAGACCAGGATTTGAACCAGGACAATCCAATGTAACACGAGAGAGAAATGCACGGCCATACCAGGATTTGAACCAGGACCCTCCAATGTAACACGAGAGAGACATGCACGGCCAGAACGACTCTTTACCAATCCAGCCACCAGGTAGAGAAATGCACGGCCAGACCAGGATTTGAACCAGGCCCCTCCAATGTAACACGAGAGAGAAATGCACAGCCAGCCCAGGATTTGAACCAGGACCCTCCAATGTAACACGAGAGGGAAATGCACGGCCAGAACGACTCTTTACCAATCCAGCCACCAGGTAGAGAAATGCACGGCCAGACCAGGATTTGAACCAGGTCCCTCCAATGTAACACGAGAGAGAAATGCACGGCCAAACCAGGATTTGAACCAGGACCCTCCAATGTAACACGAGAGAGAAATGCACGGCCAGAACGACTCTTTACCAATCCAGCCACCAGGTTGCCAGTCCACTTCTGCAACATTTCCCACTCCTTTATAAAACTTCATCCCAAAAAATGATGTGCTGTTGTATCTGAATGTAGATGAATATGTATTCCCTGGATATACATATAAAACAAGGCAGACAAGAGTTATGTACCTTTAGTCCTGTGATGCCGAATTAAACTGTCTGGTACTCTCCAGGTTTTCACTACATTGACTGTAGACAAACCTTTATTCCCTGGATATACATATAAAACAAGGCAGACAAGAGATAAGTACCTTTAGTCCTGTGATGGCCGAATTCAACTGTCTGGTACTCTCCAGGTTTTCACTGCATTGACTGTAGACAAAAATTTACACCCTGGATATACATATAAAACAAGGCAGACAAGAGTTATGTACCTTTAGTCCTGTGATGGCTGAATCAAACTGTCTGGTACTCTCCAGGTTTTCACCACTTTTGGCGTCCCACAGTTCCACTTTCCCGCCATCTATAAAAGCATTTAATGATTCATGCATCAGGACATTTCCAAACCATCACCTAACAGTGATTTTCTACTGTTTTCACAGGGACCTGTGCCTACTGTATTGGGGAAATGATTTTCACAAAATGTGACATTAATATACAACACTCAGAACATTTTCAATGAGTTAATAATTCTATAAAATTGATTGAGATGAAATACATATCATGTAGATAACAAAAACATATTTTACAAATTTTGGAAAATATTCTCTATAGGGATTTTGGGAAAATACAGCATAAAGGGGCTGGTCGGGGAAAAAATTACAAAATAAATGGGTCTAAATGCGTTCTCTGGCCTTCCAAAAGTTATACCACGGCAATATGATGGTCGAGTTCTGCTTGCAATGTCCAGTTTTGACCACTGAAATCTCAGGGAAGCCCCGCGTAAATTTAGTGCAGATCTATTTATATATGTCATGTGGTTGTTTCAAAAGTGAGGCAGTGAAGATAACAACAATAGCACGCCGGCATGTGCCATGTCGGACTCAACTAGCGGACAAGACAGCAATACTATACGTAAATAATTGTTTTCAAAGGTCATGTATGATGCAAGTGTAGTATTCCTACCTATATGTCGTTGTTATATATAATGGTATTGATACCTCGTACCTGTCATGACTTTTGCATGCATCTTTTTCTTTCGCCACGATGTTTACATTTGGCCTTGTTGATGACCCGCGTGCAGTAAAATTACATCATTGATCTGGGTCAATTGCGAGTTTTAGACTGTCAGGTGCAATTTAGGCTTTCTTTAATATAATTATAATTTTTACTCTTAGGGAGTGAATTTCAGCAAAATTTGTATCAGTATATTTCATAAGATGGTATTTTAAACATGTGTATACCATTTTTGCAAATATGACAATTTTTCCCCGACCAGTCCCTTTAAAATCTCTATAGGGTTCCTTCATTTTAATGTTTTAATTTGAAATGATATGGTATATAAAAAATAGTTCATAAAGTAAACTGCCTTAAAAATATAATATAATGGGACAGGAATGTAATGGTCCAAAATTTTGTGTAAATCTTCAAAGATTTTCATGATACTAAATATGGACCAGATGCTATTTTTCTTTTCATAGACTATCATCACTGTACCATCACGGTCACTTAGATCCTAGAACAGGTGTTACTAAACTTGGAAAGGGACATTTTGTATTTTGGTGAATATTGTTGGATAAACGATTAATATCAGCAAAAATTTATATCTAGTTTAAATATCCTAGAGTCAAAGGGGGTGGGGTTCTGATTAAATTTCTTCTCCAAACTAGCATTTGTTTCAATAAAATAGACATTTTAAAATGATATCAAAATAAATAGCGTCACACAGCGTGTATATTACGAAATGTTGTTTTTGTAATTATTCTTTCCTTTTTATTGTCCATGTAACGATAATCAGCAGCCAATGAAGCTTATATACAGTTAAATTGTCATAATAGTATCATCAAGTGAAAACTGCGTACATAAATTAAGGTACCTCTTTGCATTGCATGATAGTTTCTTGGTCAATTTTCCCACAAGTGTCCCGTTTGGGTACAGTGATGTTACAGTTGATGTTAAGGATGAGAAATGGGGGGGAACCTATCTACTTATAGTATGAAACATCCTCGATACTCCAGGGATTACGCTCACTTTCATTCTCTGCACCACTGGAATATGTCATAGCAAAATTAAAGGCACGTTGCTAGCTATTTGATTGGTGTCAGGTAAAAAAACGTGACGAATCATTGGGCTGATACTTGTCCTTTGAAGACTACAGAGGAGCGACACCCGACTTCAAGGCCAATAAGTTTTACCGTTACGCGACCGCAAGAATCTTTTGATGTACATCAAAGGATCAAGCTAGCCTTCTTGTCTCATCCACAAGACGGTGCACACTGAGCCTTAGACTTTGCTATGACATATTCCAGGGGTGCAGAGAGCGAAAGTGAGCGCTACCCCTGGCTATCGAGGATGGGTATGATACACTTTTGAGTATCCTTTACAGGATTTGCAAGGACAGTGTATTACTGGTGTAGATGTAACAATGTGAAAATATTGATTTTTTATTAAAGGCTGTGATAAAATGAATCCATGTGCTGTGTGCGATCATTGTGCCATCTACCTGTGTTGTCTGTTGTCACATGTCACACGTCTTACCTTGTTGTGTCCATATAAGGTAACTGTTCTAAATATAGGTGTTACCTCGTTTTGGTCAGTGGTCAGTCCAGGTGTCTTTGCTACATGCTTTTAGCATTCATTCATATACAGAGCTAAAGGGTGGATGTATCTCACCAACCATTGTAAACAAATTACAACAACTAAATAAACAAAAGCAGCAGACGGGCTGACTGACTTACCAGATCCCGTGACAATAGCTCCGGCAGCGGAATGGAAGCCTACCCTAGTTACTGGGTTATACGTGTAAACAGACCGCAGTGCTTGACCTACAGGAGGAAGTTTTCAAGTCAGGCATGATAAGATGCACAAAAAGAAATTATTGAAGTTATTTGAAATGATGAAAATAATGAATGTATTTAATAAACTTGTTTGAACTTTAGATCACTTTAATTTACGGACAATTTTTTCTCTCTCCTTCTTTTTGATAAACGGCCAGTCAGATACTACACAGGGCCAGCAATAAGCCTTTGACCCATCATGTAACCAATTAAGAGTAAGATTGTGATAGAAATGTCCGATCTTAGTCAGATTCACGTAAATTTGGCCATAGTGACCACAAAAAGTGTCTCGAGGTGGAGAGTCAGTCAATATACTCAAATCACATTTGGAAATATATGCAGGAATTTATTTATATTTTGATCATTTTAAAATCTCTTCATCAAATTAGGTGAGAAAAGGGTATTGCTGTATTTATCTGGCAATATGGGCTTAATGCAGGATACATCTGTTAAATTTGGGCTGCAGAGACACAATACAATACAAATCAGGGTATGATCCCCAGTTTTGACATAGACTTAAATAGTAAACACTGTCAAAATACATTTTTAGTACTTTTGCAGAGTAGAGCACATCTATTCTTTACAAAACAAGAAGTAAACTCTCAAAGTTTAATACGAAAAAAAATCCAGATTTTATTAGTACCCTGAACTTAGTGTATCGTAATACAGGCAAACAAACCAATTTGAAACGATATACAAAATATTATCACAATATGATAGGACACATCGTTGCAGTCCAATAAATACTTTCATCTTACATTTAACAGATAATAACAACTTATACATTTAGATATACCGCTATTATTTTCTTATTAAAGAGACAATGATTTTCATTTGAAAATAGGAATATATAACAGTAGAGTATCATCTTGTTTTTTTCAGCTTCCTATTTCATAAACTATTTCTGGTATTGAATTATCTCCCCTGACAATAATACTACCTATATTCTTCGAACTATATTTGTATTGTAACACTGGTGGTTTATAACTAGCAGTTACCTCCCCTGATGACTGTAGATGGCGGTATTGGATTATCTCCCCTGAAAATAATACTATAACACTGGTGGTTTATAACTAGCACTTACCTCCCCTGATGACTGTAGATGGTGGTATGATGACGTCCAGGCCTGTGCACCACACTTTGTAGGAACAGTCGAGCGAACCGCTGATCACAATCCTTTCTCCTACGTCAACATCGACAGATTCACCTGAGAAAAGAATGTCATAAAGGTACCACATAGGGGTCGAATGGCATTTTTTTCAAAATTTTCATGCATGACCGCAAATTGTTAACATCCATATTGCATGAAGCCCGCCATCTAATATCTAATGAATTAGACAGTCCGACTGTAGATGGTACAAAATAAAACTGACCGCAAATTGTTAACATCCATATTGCATGAAGCCCGCCATCTAATATCTAATGAATTAGACAGGCCGACTGCAGATGATACAAAATAAAACTCAATGGCGTCATTGATTTAGAACACTTTGACCTTCCACTGGTCTTGAAAGATTGAAGTCAGAAATAAATATATAAAGTTTCATGACAAAAGGTTGATTTTTTTTTGTCAAGTTAAACATTGTAAGTCAATTTTCCCATCATTGCATATAGATGCTGTAGCTGTGACCTTGACATTGAACATACGACATTGATCTTCAATTGATCTTTAGAGATTGATGTTGAGAATATGTGTAAAATATATGAAGTCTCATAAATTCAGTTTGAAAAAAGGAATTCATAGAGAAGCCAATTTTCCTACCATACATATTTATTCTTTAGTTGTGACCTTGACCTTAAACATATGAAAATGATTGTGACCTTCAACTGATTTTGAGAGATTGATTTCAGGAATTTTCAGTGATGTGGTGTTATTTCATGAATTAGGATGAAAACATGGACAAGACAGTTTTCCTCCATTATCATTTAAACATTCTATAGTGGTGACCTTGACCTTTAACATTTGACCTTGACCCAAGCACTAAGTAAAATGTTAATGCACAACAGATGACAGGCACTGTACCAAAGCATTAAAAAACTTACAAATATATTGACGATAAGCAGACAATGTTCAAGTATTTCTGACATCATGTATACCAAAAAATATCAAACAATTTGTGAAAAAGCTTCGCACAAAAGGACAGACAAAATTGACAAATGTGAAAAATAAATGAAATTTAAAATGGTTCAATACACTGTATACATACAGACTTTGAGGGAATCGTCCCTGTTTAGGATGACGACTGAGGTAACAGTTCCTGTATGGCCGCCGTAGCTGTGTACCTCCGTCAGCGTGTCAAGGTCCCACAGCTTCAGCGTCGTGTCACGGCTGTTGTATACAATCAACACAAAATAAATGGTTAAAAAAATGTCTTATATTTCAGATAAAATCTTTAATGCCATATCAGATTCAGATAATGGCTTTGTTTCATATCATGAGATTGATATGAGATATGAAGTCATATTATGAAATATTACCAGATTCAGTTAGTCTTGTCATATCATTATACTAGGATTTATAATATGAAATATTTTCAAGATAAGCAGTCAATTTACGAATTAATATTCAGTTTGCAAACTGTGATTAATCATTAATTTCAATGTTATCATTGGCCTTTACAGCTGTTGCTAAGTTACCTGGCGGACACGAGCAGTTTTCCGTCGGCGCAGACATCTGTAATAAGGTCACTGTGACCCTCCATTTCCACGACACCGAATCTACACTGGCGCCACCTATGGATAACAGCCTTCAGCTTGGCACAATCTGCAGATCACAATTATTAAAGACATAAATCAAAAATGAACAAGGTTACCGCGAGCGGTATATAATACGCCCGCCACACATTGAATGAGCAGTTGTTTGTATGATTGAAATATATGAAGTATTTGTGAGTAATTGATATTAAAAGAGAAATCATTCAACATAACTGGTAGATCAATGAGTGCAATACAACATCATGGAACGCATGCATCGCATTAATGAAACCAAGGGGAATAACTCCACAAATTACGGCCGGATAATGGCGTTTATCGAACTTGTCCGAGGTTTCATGGTAATTAACCTTGTTGTGAAGTTTGAAGTTAATCCGTTAATAATTACTCGAGATATCGAGCGGACACTGTTTCGGCAAGTCCATAAAGGGGCATAACTCCACAAATTATGGTCGGATAATGGCGGTTATCGAACTTGTCTGAGGTTTCATGGTAATTAACCATGTTGTGAAGTTTGAAGTTAATCTGTTAATAATTACTCGAGATATCTAGCGGACACTGTTTCGGCAAGTCCATAAAGGGGCATAACTCAACAAATTATGGTCGGATAATGGCGGTTATAGAACTTGTCCGAGCTTTCATGGTAATTAACCTTGTTGTGAAGTTTGAAGTTAATCCGTTAATAATTACTCGAGATATCGAGCGGACATTGTTCGCATGCCCACCCGCCCGCTTACGTGATAACATAATACGTCCCCGTCTTCGACGGGCGTATAAAAAGCTTTGTTGAACATGTAAATCATTACCTACAGATACAATTCTTTGGAAACTAAAAGAAAAGAAGTATTTTGTACCCACACTCAATATGGTAACAGTATTATAATGATTACAATAAAGCCTCTTTCGCATATCCGGTTCAACGGGATTGTCTGTTTTTAAATGTAACATTTTTGGTTATAAATCCTGGCGGACCTGCAAATGTGTATGCAGGCCTTGCAGGGCTTCATCAAGGCTCGTCTGAGAGCAGCATCAGATTACTGGGTATACAACCTTATTTCATAAATGAACAACTCTGGTCCAACCGTTTGGATTGCGATAAACGAATGTGGCTTATTAGTTACCGCCTAGTGATGGGCAATCAGCTTAAAATCATAATCAATAATTAACATATTCAGTCTGTTATTCGGACTGATCAATGATTTATTGCATACTTGATAATCAGTCTGTAATAATTTGGACTGAACACCCAAATAAAGCAAAAACACAGTTGTTACATTAATAGACTGATTTGCTTTAAAAACATTATAGGTATTCTTCTTTTACAATAAACTTTTACTCAGTTTAAAGTGGGTCTTTTCAACATTAAACATCAATTATAAATTAAAATCCACAAAAATATTATGTATTTTATACACTCAAGACAATTGAGTTCAATAATGAACCAATCATATTGATTACGGAATTTGTAATTGATACTTGGAATCAGAAAGGTTCACCTGATCAATTTTTAATTATAATTAATCATCAGCACATCACTTAGGTACTGATATCAAAGAACGATCAATTTTCAACAGAACTATAGAGTACAAGTGCCAATCTGGTAACAGAAACTTATCATGTACAGTTGCCGATAACCCTGGTTTTGTATCCTCGATACTCCATGGGTTAAATTATATATGCTCACTTTCGCTCTCTACACCCCTGGAATCATGTCATGGCAAAATTGAAGGCATGCAGCTAGCTATTTGATTGGTCTCATGAAGAAAAAACCTGACAAATCACTAGGCTGATACTTGTCCTTTGAAGATTACAGAGCAGCTTTACCTTACTTCAAAGCCATTCAATTTTACCCTTAAGTTATGCGACCCGAGGTTCTTTTGATGTATATTAAAGGATCAAACAGGTTTTCTCATCTCATCCACAATGTTGTGCACACTTGGCCTTCAAGTTTACTATGATATATTCCAGGAGTGCAGAGGGCAAAAGTGAGCGTATCCCCTGGAGTATCGAGGATGTTGATCTCGGACACACAGTATACTATTGATAGGTTGAGAGATCATCCTCTATGGCGACAGTATCAATGACAAGAGAAATTTCAACACTCTAGGTGAGAAAGGTGTCTGTCTAAACTTTTGGTTGATATAAGCCTTACAGTGTTAGCTATATATAAACAACCAAGACTATCATCTTTTCTATTGAGATTTCTGTGTCATCCCCTTTAAGTAGGGGATAGTTTTATTGATCTTACATCTTTCATTTAAATTCCGTAATAAAAAGTGTACCATAGCATAAAACATACTAGTTGACCCCTTTAATAAATAATTGAACCCTTTCACCCCTTTGTAACTTTAGTAAACTCTTTCATGCTTTGACCTGGATGAGTCCATTATGGTCTAGAGTGGTAAAAGGGTTAATAGGAAAAAAACTAATTTCAAACCTTTGCCACTTTGTTCATTTTTCTTTGCCTTTTTCTTTGTAGGAGAACCGCTAGATTTTGCTTTTTGGGGGGAGTCACTGGTGCTTGATACAGATTTTGCCTTTGTTTGGGAGTCAGCCGAGCTTGGTACAGGTTCTGGAGAGTTCGTGATTTCTGTAGACCTAAAATTGAAAATGTGACAATTACAGAATATAGCCACATGTAATAAAACCTGGGAAATCGCATAGGCAAAACGAATTACACTTTTTTAAATTTAAATGTAGTTCCAATATAATGTATGAGTTCATATACATATAGCTAAAACTGGCATTATCAGACAAATTGGTATCGCTACATTGTATGTGTGATACATTATGATGCTGTCTGTTAGAGTAGACTGCCAGAAATATATAAACTGTGTAAGGGAGATAACTCATTTTATATTGACACAGAATTGTCCCTCTTACAATACATGTTCTTGTTCTTTCAATTTTAGATATGATACTTTAGGTGTAATAGGAAAGAGAATAGTGTGCTTCCACCGAGGATCGTACCCACGATCTCTAGGTTCCTAGTCGGACGCTCTACCACTGAGCTAAAGGGAAATTCCCTCTAGCTTGAAGCTAGTAGGCAACCTTAATCTTATGTACAATTAGAATTTGCCACACAGTGATAAAGCCTCACACAAATCGTAATGCAGGACGGCCTTGTAAATCTTTACCAGCTTTAATTTGTTAGAATCACTAAACATTTCCCTATGCTATGACCAAACAACTCTGGTCCGACTGACGAAATTAGGTCTCTCTACTACACATAGGCTGGTTGAACCTGAAACAAAACATCTTGAACAAGGCTGATCTATGGAAAATTTGGCATGTGCATATTTTGGAAACAAAAGGTAAAAAGCTTTAGAACTGTATTTATGCAAAATATAAGAGCTTTGTTCTCATATATATAATGTATATATGTTTGCAAATTGTTACAAACTTTAGTTACATAAATTTATGAAAAAGGAAATAAAAATTCTTGATTTATTTCTACTTCTTTGACAAAACTCTGAAATTGCATTTTCAGCTCTGCCTATTCTGTCTTTGCATATTGCAGAGTTATCTTCTCTTGTGAGCAGGTATTGATTGTTACCTCAGTGGTTTGTGTGAGAAAATTACATTGTTTTCTCAAAAATTGATGACGTTTACTCTCACAAACCAATGACGTTACAATCAATGCCTGCTCACAAGAGAAGATAACTCTGCAATACGAAAAGACGGAATATATTATGTTGGACATTTTGGGTCCAAGTGCAGTTTGTTCATCACAGAATATTTTCTCTGCCACCTATACCATTATATATAACAGGGTACACAAAAGTAGCTTTATTTAATGTTCACTCATCATTTTCTGTTCTATGTGTAAAACCTCATTAACTATGTCTCGTGTGTAAACCAATTATATAAATAAACATTTTGTGTCACACCCTTACAGCCTGGAAATAAATATCTTGTATCAATACACAGTACTGTTTCCTATAAATAATAAGGGACTCTATTGCAATTAAGCCATAATGTGGCTTTATGGGTCATCCCAGGTAAAGGCCTAAATTAATCAAATCAAATCCAGCTTTTTTAACACTCTTGACTGATTTATACTAGTTCTATGGCATGAATAACTTTCATTATAAATAACATCTGTGATTACATATATATTTATGTCCATATTGCAAAATGTGATATATGTGTAAGGTCTGCCTTTTACCTGAAAAAATATTATCATTTTACATACAACAGTATTACCTTAAGCTTGTGTCTGCAGACTCAGCTCTCACTGTGTGTGAACCCTTTAGAATGACATCATCTTCTTGTTCTTCTACCTCGAGCTCTTCCACATCAATTTGTTCAAAATCGTTCAGATCCTCATGCTCGATCACCGTCACCTCAACATTCCCTAAATCTGCTTCAGAATAGGACGCTGAAAAATCATCTGTTGCTATGGAGCTTGTGTTTTGACCTTGACCACTGATCTCTGACTTTGTAGATGCTGTGATACTTCCTTCCGACTCCTCCTCATTTTGTGTAGCTAATAATCTCAGTAGGTTTTCTCGGGTTTTATCTTTCTTGTCAATCTTAAAAAGAAAAAGGAATAAGAAACAATCACATGTGTAATAAGAGAAAGATCGAAACACACGGACAGACCAGGATTCAAACCCACTCAGGACCCTTTGAACTTGAGATGCTAACAGTCACTCTACCAATAGCTCTACACGGTACTTGGTCAACAAGGGACAACCCAGTCTAGTTCCACTTCATCCCTCCCTCCATTCTCTACGTCATTGCCCCTGAAGACAACACACTATTTACAACCCAGGTTCTGGTATCCCCTTGCCAAGCAATCACCAAGTACTAATGACAGGCTTCATTATTATCTTTACAGAAAAAAAAGCAAATAGGGACCCCCTGATGGATTGAATACCTGTGTGACACAACCTGAGCCCCAAATGGGAAGATTAAAATTATGTCAATTCATTCTTCAGGAAAAATATATTTTAAACTAGAAACGAAGTTTAAAATGTCTCTAGACAACTTGAGGGCCATCTTGGATTTCATGTTTTTACATTTTCAAAGTTTTTGGTTAATCTGTAAAGGATCCAGTTGTGGTTTGGTTGGTTTGGTTGTGATTTACATCCTATTAACAGCTACATGTACTCAGTGCCATGGTCATTTAAGGACATGCCAGGTTTTGGTTGATTATAAAAGCTGGAGTACCCGAAGAAAAACCAACAACATGTGGACAGTACTGGTGACCGTCACAAGTTGGTAACAATCTCAAAATCACCAGTGGTTGACAGCTTGTGTTCGTAGACAGTCAGATGCCTTATTTTAACCACTCAGCCAGCTGCAGTCCCAATGTGAATTGTAAATATGTGTCAAAGTATTCACTTTGCTCAGCAGTAAATTATCTGACTAGTGCATTTCTAAATCTCATGTCACAGGTTTGGTCCCCAACAAATCTATAATTTTTCTTTTACTAATTTTCTTTCTGCTATTAATTGCTGCTGTTAATTGATCCTCCTCACTGAGAAGCTAATGAAGTCACAAGATATAAGACACAAGAAGATTTATTTAAAGTCGTACATGTTAAACAATGAACGTTAGCTCTGTAGAGCTATTATGACGACAAAACATGAATAAAACGCATAGAAAATTATAAAAAAAAAAAAAAAAAAAAAAAAAAAAAAAAAAACACAGCATGCATGTTAAATAAAAATAAAAACAGCTTAAGGGACTGAACATTACCAGTCAGAGTTATTAACAAGCAAACAACAAATACATACATATACATACAGATATATCACAGCATGCACAAAACACAATTAAGTTGTTGGGTTGTGGTAGTCTAGGGGCAGGGTAGGGGTGAGTAGATTAAAAAGATATGCATTGTAAATAATGACTTATAAGGTCTGTAAAGGGATTTTTCCTTTACTTTGGCAGTAGATCAGCTCCACATATATACTTAATTAGGGGCAAGATATTAGGATGGACCCTCAAAAATGGGTTATCACAATATCTTAGTCAATGAGATCTGGTCTGAAGCTGGACTACATGTTGGTAAGCAGTATACATGTCTATAGCATCATTATAAATTTCTTTTTATAGTACAATCAATGTTGATAAACTTTATTATCGAGAAATATATTTTTATAAAAGTGAAAACCGTTTGACAGGTTCACAGGGCACAACCACTCATTGAGTAAAATTAAAACTTCCTGTAGTATCCTCTACCAATGTTGTAAGCTGTCCCACAGTAACATACAATTACAAACATGGTAACAGCTTTACATATATAACTTCCTGTAGTATCCTCTACCAATGTTGTACGCCGTCCCACAGTAACATACAATTACAAACATGGTAACAGCTTTACATATCTAACTTCCTGTAGTACCCTCTACCAAAGTTGTAAGCTGCCCCACAGTAACATACAATAACAAACATGGTAACAGCTGTACATATATAACTTCCTGTAGTATCCTCTACCAAAGATGTAAGCTGTCCCACAGTAACATACAATAACAAACATGGTAACAGCTTTACATATATAACTTCCTGTAGTATCCTCTACCAATGTTGTACGCCGTCCCACAGTAACATACAATTACAAACATATTAACAGCTTTACATATCTAACTTCCTGTAGTATCCTCTACCAAAGCTGTAAGCTGCCCCACAGTAACATACAATAACAAACATGGTAACAGCTGTACATATATAACTTCCTGTAGTATCCTCTACCAATGTTGTAAGCTGTCCCACAGTAACATACAATTACAAACATGGTAACAGCTTTACATATATAACTTCCTGTGGTATCCTCTACCAATGTTGTAAGCTGTCCCACAGTAACATACAATAACAAACATGGTAACAGCTTTACATATATAACTTCCTGTAGTATCCTCTACCAATGTTGTACGCCGTCCCACAGTAACATACAATTACAAACATATTAACAGCTTTACATATCTAACTTCCTGTAGTATCCTCTACCAATGTTGTACGCCGTCCCACAGTAACATACAATTACAAACATGGTAACAGCTTTACATATATAACTTCCTGTACTATCCTCTACCAAAGTTCTTCAATTAGTTACATTTACTGTTTACAGTAACATTTTGTTTTACTGAAATGGGAAATTAAGTGAAAGAAAATCACAAAATTCTTTTAATTCTTTAAACATAATGAAATTAATGATAGGCGATACACTTTAATATGCAAAACTTTTTACTCATATGAGGGGTTATATATATACCCTTACTTGCCAACTTTTTAAAATTTCCATGGAGAAGATTGGATAATATTAAGTCATCGCTCGTCAGTGCAGTAGAGGACAATATCCCTTCCAAAGTTTATAAACAGTGGAATTCTTTATCATGGGTAAACCACAACCTACAGAAAAGGTGTACGGAGCAAGCACAGAGTTTACAATCAGACCAAGAGGAAAATGTCTGGTCTAACTACAGATGTATTCATAAGGAATGCAAGCGGGCCTTTCGACAAGCAGAGTGGGGATATATGAACAAGAACATCAACGAAGGACTAGCAAACAACAACAACAAGCCCTTCTGGAAAAACAACAAGAGTAGGAAGCAAGAAAACATCGGAGTTGCCCCACTCAAATACCAAAACAACCTCCACAGTGACAGCCAGCACAAGGCCGAAGCTCTCCTGGAGCTTTTTAAATCAGTATTTACCAGAGGCCTTCATGACAAACCCCCGCCTATGTCCCATACAGTCAAAGATCCAATACCAGGTATTACCATCAACGAAAAATGGAGTTTTGTCTTTACTTAAAGCCATTAAGGTAACACCATCGCTCAGCCTGATCTTTCAGAAGGGATAGTGGGCATCTACCATCTGACTGGCTCAATGCAAACGTCACCCCCGTATTTAAAAAAAGGAGACAGACACCTCCCTGAAAACTATATGCCAGTGTCTCTTACATCTGTTGTTTACCAAGCTCCTGGAAAATAATATCTGCAAACAATTTCTACAACATTTTGTACAACATGTACAACATCCTAACAACCCTTAACCACAGTTTCTGCTCGAGGTACTTGTGTCTTTAACCATTGACGACTTTGTTAAGAACTACGATAAGGTTCTCCAAACACATGTCATAATATTAGACTTTTCCAAGGCGTTTGATACAATGCCCCATGATAAGCTACTACATGTTTATAAGCTGAAAAACTATGGGATACCCAAGACCGCTCCTTGAATCGACTTTCTATGTCATCGCGGCGACATATGCGCGTAGTAGTAGAAAGCAAATTCTCCAAAGAGACTCCTGTTATATCCGGAGTCCCCCAGGGCAAGGTCTTCGGCCCTTTGATATTTCTTGTCCACATCAATGACCTACCGGATTCTGTTAAATCACAAATTTGTGGGTGATGATTGCCTGCTATACCTTGTCATCAAATCTATCAGCAACCATGTGATACTTCAACAAGATCTCAAGAAGTTAGAAGAGTGGGCCCATATTTAAGGTATGAAATATAATGTTAAAAAATTGTTATGTTCTTTCAATAAACAGCAAATCATCACATTTCAATGACCTAAACAACCATATATCCTCAAATCTTTACCCAAAAACCCATACCTCGGCCTTATGATCTCGGAGGACCTGAAAGGGAAAGAGGCGGCGGTGTACATGTTGAATCCATGCTAAAGGATCTAGACCTATAAAAACACTGCAAGAAAAACTGAGGGAGTTACACCTCACATTTCTATACTGGGTGGTTGAGGGGCTATAGTGCCTCAATCTCATCACATCACTAATCAACCCCAAAACAAAAGATGTATCCAAACAACAAAAAGATTAGAGGACTACCATTGTAAAAATATTTTGAGAAGACCATCGGACAAACCACTCTAAATGCTTAGTAAAAATACCAGCAAAGCCTGACACTTATAGAAACAGGCTTCTTTGTATGAACAATTAGGGAGTGGTATCAACTAGAGAACCATCAAGTTAATGCCAGTATGTGTACTTAGACGGCCTTCAAAGTTCAAAGCTGGCCTAAAAACAAACACAAGGCTAGCTGCACTCTCTCTCATCCTTCGCATTAATGCCAGGAATTAGCCAGCGACGTACCTCTTCAGATTCAGCTTGCATATTCAAAATCGTTAACTTTAAAAACAATGTGTGTATCAGATCTATATCAGGCACCCACCAGAGAAAAATAAAACTTTAAAATGGTATCTTATTAGCTATTCTTTCACATGTGAAATCATTAGATCTTAAAACATGAGAATAGTTTTGCAAATTCACTGGATTTAAGTATTCAATTTAAGGATCTAAAATAGGGAGTGTAGATCTGTGTGCCCAGCTAGCCTCTTCAACCAAAAGTGAACATGTTATGGAAGTTCCTGCAAATATTAGAAAAGACTCCCCAAAAACATAATTGGACCATTACATCTGCCCCTATTTCATAAACAGACAATTATACGTATTGTTGAACCTTTAAAATGTTGGAAAACAATAAAACAAAACTTGACAAAAACGTCCCATGTAAGGATACATGACTGTAACATCATGACACGTCTTGATGAATTTTTCTGTATTACGATATTAGAACGAGATTTTTCACAAATAAAAATTGTTGACATTTCTTTGACAATGCTTTCATACTTTATAATACTCATCGTCAGTCAATTCCCGATCAATTCTCTCCAAGTTTTCTATTTGCCTAAGTTTCTTTCTCAACTTTCTTATTTCCAATGCCGCTGAAGTTCTTGCTGCAGCCATTGCTGCTGAGTTTTTCGGAACCTTTCTCGATTTACAAATGCATATTGTTCAGAATATACAGGAAGTAAAGGGAATTCCCGCAAGAGGGCGTTATTCAGGAAAAAGTCCTGTTGACAAAACACCCATCACGAGGAAATACAAAGGCATTTACGTCAAATTGGAAACTTTATCAAGTGTGATGATCCAACCAAATGAGTTTGTTTAGAAAGCGCGGTAAGTATTTGTGACATCTTAGGTAAATGGTCGCATATGCGGGATTAACGTCTGTTATGTAAACATTAATCGAGTCTGAACCCTGGGGACACCTACCTTCACGACTTAAAATTATCGTTATGATATATTATAAGAGTTAAGCAGACACGTTGGTGACGTTTTCGTTACATTGCTTTTTTTAATGAGAAAGTAGACTCAGTGGCAGTATGTAGTTAGTATAACATGTAACACTGCATTAATTTCATTTATGTGTCAGCTGTGCATGTGTGTCTGAGTAGAAAATATCAACAACTAATTTATAAACCACCAGTTTAAAATATTGTTTGAAATAAATATAAACTGACTATCTCCTTAAAAATAAATGATGTCAGACAATCCACCTCAAGGCTATTTTAAAAAATAAATGCAAAGAGTTGAAATTATTTTCGACTTGGCCCAATGTCTATAATTACAGTAAGATATATATATTTCCTTTCAAAAGTTTCCTACACTTAATTATTCATTACATTTTGATTTACTCAGGTCCTACCTCAGAAGATGTTGCACGTGAGAATCAAGTTAAGAGAGCCATCACCAAGGAGTTGTCCTCATCAATTAGGACCCTCCAAAGGGAACATCATCGCAAAGATGAAGTCATCACGAGGTGAAACTTTATAGCCTTTTAAGTAATCCCATACTTCTTAGTCCAATGCCCTACCACTGAGCTAAAGGGAAACTCCCCTTAGCTCGAAGCTAAGGCAATCGTAAACCTATATAATTAAAATCTGCCATACTTGCATATGGCCAGGGTTATAAACACTTTTTTTTTTAACTAGGAAGTCCAAAGGTCAAACTGAACAGTTTATTTGCTACCTACTTCGATCAATGTAGCTTTATTTTATTGATTTTCCAATATTTCCTTAAGGAAATTAACATCTCAGCACAAAACATAAAAAGTAATTGACTATATAGGGGGACATTATCATAAAAGGAAAAAGTTGACAACTACTGGATATTATCCAATACATCTTTATTTTAAGCAGTTTTATTGCTTACATGTATTTTGTAATCTATTTATCAAATGATACTGTGACATCATATCACAAATAAGGACCAGTTAGGTAAGGTTATCTAGACTACTAGTGAAAATTCACTAGTTATGGAGGACAAGTGTAAGTACGGATCTCTCATGATGACTTGCATTGTTTATGCATCAGCGGGTAAAGTATTCTTTTTTCATTTCACAATGTCCAAGAATTCAAAAGAATTCTCAGCTTTACTGTTAAAGAAATGCAGTACTGTACATGTATGTAGTTTCGTCTCGTCAAATTTCTATAATTTCTTGTAAGTATTATACAATAATTCATGCATCAGAAGGATTTTAAGAATTTAAGTCAGTTTGGGGTGGAACAGGCGTAAATTGTTCAGCCCTGCAGTGTTTTAGTTATGATACATGATTTATTTATTTACATTGCAGCACGGATCAGGCAAATGCTGTGTGTAATATATTAGAAGCCATTTTTCTGCATAATCTGAAAAATTCTGTTTCTAAAAAGGTAAGATATTAATAATCTTAGAAAACAAAACAGTTGTACAAACAATTTTGGATTAACTTTTGTTTTGTACTTTGTTTGCGTACCATAGAATTAAATCAAATTTTTTTTTAACGCATCCCAAAAAAAAAACATGTATTTAGTTTATGCTATTAGATGTAAATGCAAACCAAGTATTGACTGATAAATGTTAAGAATTTATTTTATTTTCAGTTTGCAAACTATATGGGGCTTAGTCAGACGGGTGAAAATGGAGACATTTCAATTGTAAGTATACAATGTACTTTTTATTAAAAATAGAAACTAATACTTAGAATTAGGGATAAGGATTAGTGTAAAACTAGGACTTGCTTATATAGTCATGGTTGATAATCTTATCAACTGATAAAACCTGTGTGGTTAAATGCTGATATGATTAATCAAAGCTTAACCCATTTACATAATGTTCTGTCATTTTAAACAAATGTAGAAGGAAAAACCTCAGTTCTGACTCAAATTATTCAACATTGGGTAATGATAATAATGATATATACAATATTTGATATAGCGCCGTATCTAGCTAACATAAGCCACTCTTAAGTGCTTTACATTATACATAGATATACAATTTATACAATCAATGCAGTTAGCATATACATTAATCAATACCATTTTGAGGAATTCACAGGAGCTGCCTTATCAGGCGCTAACTACTTGTCCTATGCCACCTTGCTTATATCTCCCTATGTGTGTATGCCTGTGTGTGTGCTGGAGTGGTATTGTGTTCAGTTTGTAGTGGGACCATGCTTCCAACGGTATCATTTATAGTGCCACCTCACTTTAATGCTAAAAAACAGATAGTGCCACATTTTATACTCCACCTTGGTTGTTGGAGTTGTACATGTGTGGGCAGGAGGAAAACACTTTCTCTGATTATTCCATGTGTACAACGACTTTAAGATCGAACCCCAGTCGCCTGCGTGGAAGGCCGGAGTAGTGTTAACCACTAAACCAATCTGCCAGTAGATTATCAGTATCCGACCTTGATGTATCTATTTACCCTGAAATCTCGATAATAAGCCTATTTTGCGAATCAGTCTCATTTTCAAAGTCTTTTATAAAGTAAGCCTTAAGCTTCATTGGCATTTTTTCAAGTTATTCTTTTCTTGCGTGTAAAATTACAATGTTATATAGGTTTTTTAATGAAATTCAAAGTATATCTGTAAAACCTGTTTAGTCTGACATGGGTAATGTGGCTCATGTCTGGAATCCAATGGATATTATTTCAAGACCAGCCTACTTTCAAACATGACTTATTATGTCGAGATATGCTCAGGTAATAATCCTGCATTTGGGTAACAGTTACCCATTTGAGTAACAATTTTATTACTGAAATGGGGAATAAAGTGAAATAAAGACACACAAAGTTCTTTTACACATTATAAACAAAAACGGGCATCATTCTTTCAACATAATCAAATTAAAAGTACAATTAACAATAAGGTACAATTGTGCATAAAAATATGTTTATTTAGTTGTCTTAAATTTTGTCAACATGACAAATTATATCACCTCCATTGCTTATAGTGTGCTGTAGAGTAGCTATAAATAGCACACAGAAAAAATCATGCTCACCTGTCACATTTGCACAGGATAGTCCCATTGACTACACACTGAAGTAAATGAAGAGCAAAGTCATTGATATGGTTTATCCTTTTCACAAAAACTTAGACATCAGAATTGATCATTTTCTGTGCACAAATGTACATCATTGTTTTATTTATTGGATTTAGTTGAGAGAAAAACGCCCTTTTTTGCGCCAAGAGTTTAAAAGTACTTTGTGTGTTTTAAATTCACTTTATTCCCCATTTCAGTAATAAAATTATTACTCAAATGGGTTACTGTTACCCAAATGCAGGATTATTACCCATATGCGCCGTTGTGCCCAACCTGATGCTAATTATATAAGCTGTATGGAATCCAAGGCTTATTTTCAATGTCGGCTATTTTCAAATCAGGCTTATCAGGTATTATCAAGATTTTGGGGTTTCCCAGGTAACCACTGGCAAGTTTTATACTTTCTGAATAAGGCAGCTGCAGTTTTTTAAATATTATATGATTATATTCCTTCTGACAGAATTTAAAAATTCATTATATTTACTTTATACTTTGCTGCAGAATTTCTGGCAATTTGCTGTCAAGTTTACACACGGCGATGTCATAGCCCAGCTGAAGAGGCTTGGCCAGGTCACCACGGAAATCGGACTATGTCGGGTAAATATTAAAAACTTAATTACGGATGGTTTACAGCCTCATCCTGTATCCATGCATGTAAATTGCATGGCCCTGGTATAGCTTATAGCCCATCTCATTGGGATTTTAAGTGCCACAACATAATAAGATTACCTTATATATATCTTACTTGCTGCAACCTTTATGGCCAGGTTTAACGGAAACTAAGTAATATTTAACATTTTAAGATATTAATAATGTATTATTTTTCCCATATAAAAAATTGGAAAGATTGGCAAAAACGATTTTTGGGTGTTCAGTACTAATTCCTCGAGGGTTGAAAAGAGAAATTATGTGTCAATCTCTACAAATAGAGAGGACGGTCGACCAAAGTTTATCTCGATTAAGTAAAGAGGGGAGATAACACATATTTCCTGTTGTGAACTCTACAGGATGTTGATTATTCGACCCCAGGGGGTTGGATGGGGACATATCAATGGTTGCGATAATAAGTGGTCATTCAGATTTTAACCAGTTACAGGATATTCAGGCAAAATATTTGTTTAAATACTCAGCCAAGGTTAGAATCATTGGAAGTTCGGAGAATCAGGGTTTGTATCAATCTGCATTCTGACATCAGACAAATCTGAACAGTACCCGTATAACAATTTACTACCATTTTACTTGGATCTATACAGAAACTATTGTAACATTGAAATCTCTCGACTATTGAAAAATAAATTGACAAACCTGTATACCATTGTTAATCAACTCTCTACATGTATTAGGCCTGGATCCGCATGGCGCTGAATGACTGTCTCATGGAAAGTTACGTAGACGCTATGTTGGCTGACAAGAAAACCTTGGAGTAAGTACTTTATACCAGTTTATTGGTTTATTGTAGCGTTTTTTACATGTGTTGTATTTTGGTGGCCAAGTGGTTAAGGCCTCTTTCATTCTGATACCACAAGCCCTTCACCACTGGGTCGCGGGTTCGAGACTAGACTACGTGTGGTAGGAGTCGCCAGGTACTGGCTGTTGGTCGGCGTTTTTTCTCTGGGAACTCTGGCTTTCCTCCACCACCAAAACCTGGCACGTCCTTAAATGACCATAGCTGTTAATAAATTCATTTGTAGGACGTAAAACACAAACCAATGTATTTTGGAAGAGGTGCACTGCTCAAAACTTTTAGAAAAAATTAATGCATAGATTTTGATATAGAAAATACTTATAGCTTCTTGTGTCTCTGTCAAAGTTGTAATTGGCAAGTCATTAGATTTCACTTAATTTAGAATTTGAAGATCAGACTAAATAGCATACATTTCATTAGAAAGAAAAATGCAACACACTAATCAGCATACAAGTTTAGTCTACTCATTTATATGAAAAAATGTCAACACTTAATTATGTTGCAGAATGTTTTATCATCGAACGGCATACCTGCGTGACCATGAACAACCTGAGATATTCAAATCGTACCTCAAAGGTGGGCATTTCACTAACAAAGCTTAAGATACTAACAATCCTTAAAGCTTACTGGCCATTAAATGCTGATGACTCAATTCCATTAAAATTGGCTGTAAATTTTCAATTAAAACATCAAATATTCATGGACATTTACTTTACTATTTTAAATCAACCCATTATTATTGTACAATGATTAAAATTGAAATTAATTAATGAAGACTTTGTTGTGGGAAGATAAAGGCCATTAAAGCAAAGTGCCCACGCTGGAAATAATAGCCAGGCAGCACAATTTTGAATACCCATTAATGAATTTTTCTTTTAATCGAGATTAAACGGTCATTTAAAATATGAATTCAATGGCATTTTCATTGGTATACAGATTACCATAAAAAAGCATGCAACTTATTTTTTTTTGTTAATGATGCATTGATAGTGAATTAATGTACATTATAAACGTATCTCTTAAAATTTACTACACTTGTAAATCCGAGCTTTTAATTTCCTGAATTTTGCTATCCTTTGAATTGAATATTCATATCTATAAGAATATAGCACTGCCGTGCTTATGTTTAGTGTTTAAAATATTTGACATCATATAAACATTCTTGTATCTTCTTGATACATACATTACAGGTCTGATGTCCTTGGAATTCAAGCTGTCGTACAACTCCCGAGTGTTAAATAGCTGGTCAAAGTCTCCGTTGATCCTAGCAGGTCTTCTCCAACCGGACAACACCCCTCTACCGGTCATGTCAACAGGTATTTACGTAATGGGTCTGGACTGAAACTAGTCCGAACACTTAATGAGTCATCTCTTAGATATTTTGTCCGAACTTTTGGACATTTTTTTTATTTTATTTTTTTAAACATGAAAATGATGTGATTCCGTCATCTAATTTAAATATTTTTAAATAAGTATATCACATTTTTAGTTGAAGTTGTATTTTGTGGGTAGTTAATGTCTGTGTAATGATGGATGATAATATAAGCATGTACATATGTACAAGTTTAGACGTTATTATCTGGCTATTTTTATATCCTACTCCATATATAATAGCCCAAGACTTCCAAATCAGCCCAAGGGATAATGAAATGGTAACCTTTTTTGTTCACAATATTGCTCATGTAGACTATCGCCATCCGTCATAGAGTGCATCATTCATCATTCATAAACTTTTTACATTGTTTATTTCTTCTCCAAAACCACAGCACCAATTTCAATAACATTTTGTAGAAAGGTTTCGTATTATAGTCAAAGGCACACCAAATCTGTGAATTATATGGATCTAATTACTCAGGGGCCTGAGTGGCGAGGCCAAAGGGGGTCAAATTGGCTAAAGTTTCAACAATCTGCTTCTTCTTGAGACCCAGATATGCTTGAATCAAATTTCCTTCATTAACGGAAAAGTCTTATGGTGCTTTATCAAATTGTGCATTTCATTACCCCCAAGTGATCCATTCCCCACTGGGGAGGAGGACATTTTTACTATAGTTTCTATAGAGAAATAACACTTTGGGGTATATTTTCTCTATTTGCAGTGTGCTATAATTCAAACTATGTTGGAATTTTACTGTGAAGCTTATGCATGCATATATGCCGGTTGGAATGGTTTGGTCGGGAATATGACCTATACACAGCTAACAGCATCACACATACAAATCAACCCTTATCACTGAAGTGAATGATAACATATTATGTTTATACTAAAATGTGTTTTATGATGTCGATTGGTTTCAGAACAAAAAGATTCCAGCCCCGATGAAAAGTATTATGATGGAGCAGTGGCAAACGGACACGACGTTGTGGACATACGGAGTGTGAGAACTAGGTCACGGGGGAGTAGTTCTGAAGGTGACCCAACAGGAAGGTCATCTAAAGGTCATAAGGTCAAAAAATCTCAGAAAAACTTCCCGAATTCCTCCGATGATTCTGATAATAAAACTATAGTTCTCAGCTCTGAACTGACCCGCAGTGATGTGGAAAAAATTAGAAATATGCCCAGAACTGCTTCCTCTCAAGATACAGGAATGTCCGAGTGTTCAAGTTCTAGTCACGTATCCTGTCCCGACCCTGTCAATTACAACAAAAGTCCAGCCTCCTATGTCGAAAATGAAAAAGAAAACATGTTCAGTTTAACGGACGATAACGAAATAGTAGCGACACAGGAAATTGAAACGTCCACGAGTGAGGTTTTAACACAAAAAACTGAAATGGCACCGAAGTTTAAAATTGGTAATTCTCCTGAAATGGATTTCTCTAACAACGATGCTCTAAATGCCAGGATTCTTGACGATATTTTGAACGCGAGTGACGGAGAGAGTTCGAACATTGCAGCTACCGACTATTTCCAGCAGTCTGGCCTTCCTGATCTATCCATGACCTCTCTTAATGTAGAAAATTCACCAGCTTCTAAGTCGTCCTTATCCTCTACACCCGACTTTGATAGAGTTTCAGTTTCACCAAAAAGTCAAAAAGAAACTGAAACAACAAAAAAGAGTTATAAAGTGAAAGGGAAGATGCGTAGACTTAAACCCGATTTAAGTCCTCCTCAAAAATCAGCTGCTGCTCCCGAATTATCCTCGGCTGTAGCGGTCGGTATAGAAACGACAGGATCAATGTCGAGAAGGGGGAGATTATCCATGCCCGACATTTGTGCTGTTATTACTAGGACGGAACCCCGGAACAGACTCGGTGTAATAGACGCTCGGTCGGAGCCGGATATTCCGGGACAGTTAAATGATAATGAGGACAATGACAATGATTCTCATGTAGGATCACCCTATGTTGGTAACAGTCTTGGTGCTATGAGCGGATGGTCATCCTCCTTTGACCTGGAAGCTCAGGACACTGTTCAGCCCCTCCGGGGTCCAAGTGTTAGTGAGACAGTGACCATAGGGCGGCCAAAATGTAAGTAGAAGAATGTACAATGGCAGGACTTGAGCCGTTATATGTCATTTTGCCTCATTATTTTTTTTATTTTTTTTTAGATTCAACTTGAATCTATTAACCAATTTCTTTTATAAACATTATTAGGGCTATCTGTTGTACGAATTTCAAATTTCATATTTGCGTACTTCATTTTTCTAAGATTACAAATATCTAACAACTAATTTTGTATCCCTGATGAGGCTGGAAATGACCCTTAATGCCTCTAGTCCTTTGTCTAAATATAATCCTAAATAACATGGAAACCTGTGTCAAATACTTAATTCCACAGCGGAGAGCTTCGGCAGCCTGCTACAGAACTACACTCCCTCAAGTTCCGCTATGACATCGCCTTCCCTCGACGATGTGCTGCAGGACTTACCCGATATACACAAAGCATCCCCTTCCAAACACGACATCCATGCTGAACAGGTACATAACTAAATATTCAGGCACATGGTTTGACATTTCATGAAAAAACATTCCTGTACAACACAAATTCTGTGGCTATTGCACCCAGACACGATATATTTAAAGTATTAGGAGGCACGGTAGTCTAGTGGTAGGGCGCCAGGCTCGTGACCGAAGGGTTACACGTTCGAGTCACGGCACGGCACTGTGTTGTATCTTTGAGCAAGATACTTTACTCTGCTTGTTCCAGTCTACTCAGCTGTAAATGAGTATGTGGTTGGGCAGTGCTAGAATTGTTGAATGCAAGCTGTTAGCGCTGAAATGGCAGCTCCGGCTGTATGCTCCCAAGGGAGTAGAGAAAGGTATTGGCTAGTTGCAAAAGGCCCTATAACCACAGAAAATAATTTGTGAACTGCTTTAAGACGACCTACGAACTAGGTTGTGATAAAGCGGTATATAAGAACCTCAAATTATTATTATTATTATTATTATTATTGAAATCCAACTGAAACACAATTTCCAAGTATATACTCCACTCACGCAAGACAGTATATCTCCACCCAGTCACAATATTCCTATAAGAGTGTATTGTATATACCAGTAGATATGTTGGATAGTAAAATTCCACCAGAGAGTGTAGAATCAGGAAATATTAAGGATCATACCCAAGACTTTGCCAAAGTTCTGAGCCCGGTTTCTACACCAGAGGATGGAAGTTCTCTTACCCTCATACCTACATAATGATTCACTCTTTTTTTTCCTACCTCTTATCCAAGAATACGGTAAAAATCAACAATGACACTGTTAATGCAACAATTTATATATACAAGTAGTAGATTTTGTAGATACGATCAAAGACACATTTGGAAAGTTTGCACAGGAAAATGTATGGTTTATCAAAGATACACTTTAAAATTAAAGCTATTTACAAAAACTTTTTAGAGAAGTATATTCTCCAGCAAGACACAAATTTCCAAATATATCCCAGACAACATTTTAAGTACATGAATTGTATAATCCTCACCCACACACAAAATTCAAAGTTATTTAAATTCCAAGTATACAGTACACATGTATATGTACCTCCCTTTTTCGCTAGCCAAGGGTTACTATCCGGTACAATCTACCCACACTCTTCAGTAGGAAGACTGGATAGGACCGGATGGTAACCCTTGTCTAGCGAAGATGAGTACCTCCATACAAATTGTTATCCCCCTCTTTCACGGAAATGGGGGATATTAATTTGGGTTTGTCTGTCTGTCTGTCCGTCTGTCTGTCACGCTTCGTTTCAGTGCAATGACTACAACACATGTTAACCGATTTTCTCCAAAACTTGGTCACAGGGTTAAATACCTTAAGGGCCCGGCCAAGTTCGATGACCACTTTCAGCGAACCCCATTTGGCAGAGTTATGGCCCCTTGAATAACGAGAAACGTCATTATCTACCATGCTTTGTTTCCGTGCAATGACTACAACAATTGTTAACCGATTTTCTCCAAAACTTGGTCACAGGGTTAAATACCTTAAGGGCCCGGCCAAGTTCGATGACCACTTTCAGCGAACCCCATTTGGCAGAGTTATGGCCCCTTGAATAACGAGAAACGTCATTATCTACCATGCTTTGTTCCCGTGCAATAAGTACAACAAATGTTAACCCATTTTCTTCAAACTTGGTCACAGGGTTAAATGCCTTAAGGGCTCGGCCAAGTTTTTTGACCACTTTTAGCAGACCCCATTTGGCACATGTTTAAACCTAACCTCAATAATGTTTACCTACAATATGTCCTGAAATCGGGGGATATAAATTCCACAAATTTGCTTGTTAAATAAGCCTTTGATCTCCTAACAGAATTGCTCGCTAGGCTTGCCATTCATTGCCTCCATGCTTGTTTGATTTCAGGTGGAAAAAGATAATAGCGCTGATGACTTTGAAATAGTTTCAGCCTATAGTTATGCTTCTAACGAGAAGCTGGACCGAGTAAGTTTGCATGGGAGAAAGCTCTGCTACTAATACAATGTACAGTGAAACCTGGCTAACCTGACAACTTTGGGAACACAAGGGTTTAGTTAGATTTACCTGTGTAATCTGACATCTTATTGTTGAACACAGTGTTTTAGGTCAGATAAACTTGTCTAACCCATCAACTTATGTAACACAACATATAAGCTAGATTAACCTGTCTTATCAGACACCTTGGTAGACAAAATATATAAGTTGGATTAAACTGTCTTATCTGACACCTTTTGGGACACACTGATAAACCTGTGTAATCAACTCCCTATTGGTCAGATGAACCTGTCTAATCTGACATACTGTGAAACACAACATATTTGTAAGATTCTAGCCTGTTTAATCTTGCACACCATATATAGGGCACAACATATTGGTAAGATATAACCTGTCTAATCTGACACCCTATGGAATACAATATATTAGTCAGATTACCCTGTGTAATCAGGCAACTTTAATAGTGTGGGACTACATGCAATCGTTCAGATTAAATGGGATTTTCTTGGGTAGTTTCCTATATAAATAGGATTTTAGCATAATATTTGAATAGACATGAGTATTGATGATGTCAGAATACTCAGGGGTCCAATTAAACAGGTTTCACTGTAGTTCTTTGTTTACTCTGTTGCCCTGCTTGCTTTCATGTAGATACATGTATGTGTATATATCTTATCTTCTTTTTTCTTTTTTTTAAATCGGCTTCCTTTTGTTACCAGTGTGCATGTGCAGTAGTCGGATTATGCGATTTATTTAGAACAAGTTGTATCTTTTATGCAGAGAGTTCCAATGCTCTGTTTTGTATCTCCAACAAAGAAGAGTTGCAATTTGGTCGCCATTTTTCTGACTTGGAGTTGCTATCTTTTATTTTCTTTGATTTCTTATCTTCTTTTTTTTGTAAGGGTGTCACAAGGCACCTTTTGAGAAAACATATGAATTTTGTTGAACACGTCTTTCATGTGAATTATATATTGTATTTATTCTTGGTTATGGGTCTTTTAAAGGAAAAGAAACAGTTTTTTTAGGTCACCTGAGACAAAGTCTCAAGTGACCTATTGCGATCGCCTTTTGTCCGTCGTCTTCCATCGTCCGTCGTCCGTAAACAATTTACATTTTCGACTTCTTCTCCAAAACCCCTGAACCAATTTCAATGAAATTTTGCAGAAACCTTCCACGGCCAAAGGTCAACTAAAACTGTGAATTATATGGTCCCCAGCCCCCAGGGGCCTGAGAGGCAAAGGGTCAAATTGACTAAAATTTCAAAAATCTTCTTCTCAAGATCCAGATATGGTAGAATCAAATACTCTTCATAGATGAAAGGGTTTTAAGGTGCTTTACCAAAATTGTGAATTTCATGACCCTTTGGTATCATGTTTCCCCATGTGGAGGGGGTAAACATTACTATAGTTTATATAGGGAAATCACATTTTGGACTAACATTTGTTTAATTGCCATTGGAAGTAATTCAATTTGGGTTAGCATTATCAGTATTGGATAGCAGTTTGATTGTATGCACATATCAGCCCTGACTGACCCCCAGGGGCTGATGGGTGGGGCAAAAAGGGTCGAATTGACTGAAATTTCAAAAATCTTCTTCTCAAGATCCAGATATGGTAGAATCAAATACTCTTCATAGATGGAAGGGTTTTTAGGTGCTCTACCAAAATTGTGAATTTTATGACCCTAGGGTCTCACGTTTACCCCTGGGGAAGGAGGGGGGGGGCAAAATTTATTATGGTTTATAATGGCAATTGATACTTTGAATATTACATGTTAATAACTTGATTGGAATTATAACCTTGAATTGACAGTTTGATACTTTGAAAATTTTGAGCCATCCCTACCCCCAAGGGCTGTAGGGTACGTGGGGCCCAATGGAGTCTGTGTGCTAAAATTTCTTCATTTTCCTTGTTTAGAATCAGAGGTGCTAGTTTCAAATACTTTTCAGTCTTAAATCTGCATGATAGATATTGAATAAGGTTGTTTTATTGTTTTTTGTCACTTTGAATAATACTTCTGTTCATGTTAAAAACAAAAATCAACTCTCTGTATAAATATATCAGGTGACCGTTCAGGCCCATGGGCCTCTTGGTTCATTTGCATGTGCTTGTGACGACCCTCATTCCATTTTCATTTCATTTCGCTTTAAAACATCATTTTAGAAAGATTTAGAAACCTTTAAATTGACCTCAAATGACAGAGATATTTTCGAATATTCTGATTGAATTTGTAGTACATGTAATATATGTATGTATTTTTCCTAATAGACAAGTAGACATCATTAAATATTGTCCAAAATTTACAGAAATGGTTACTTTGTTAGCAGAGTGATTTTTTCTTTTCTTTCTCTCATAAGACACCACCTTTTCTCTGAATGTTTGTGCATCACCTGAAAACCATAATTTGCTTTTTAGTTTACCTTAAGATTTATTGAAATTGCAAGAAATGTAGATTCACATTTTCTGTTAAATTTGGATTAGTTCATATTTAAATCTGATTCAATGAAATGAAAATTGAATAAAAATTAACCACAGAAACCATGGATGTATCCACAATATTTTACTAAAATTGGTTTATTAGTTTTTCACCTATGATGGAATTTTGTAGATAAAATATATGGATGTTATGTTGTTTTATATTGCAGAAATGTATCTTACTTGCTCCTTTATACTTTTTCCAATCACTCACTGCCTTCTTATATCTATTTTGTAATGTATGTATGTAATACCTTTATCATATATATATATATTTATTTATTTATCACATAATGTACTGTATGTGTTATCCATTGAATATGCTCATGTCTTATTTTTTGACGTATGGTATTAAACCATGTAATATGACCCATCAGCCCTGTGATTGGTTGTAAGTTTCAATTGCTTCAATTGTGACGTCATGCCTAGGACAAGTATATGACGTCACAGACTTACACACTGGGGTCAAAATGGCGGCTTTTTACATTTCAAGGTTGCATGAAAATTGTCATTTTACAGGAATAAATGCCATAAATCTTGATTATGTGAAGAAAAGGATCTTTAATTTACACTCGTTTTCATTTCGTATGAAATTTATGAAACTCGTCCCGAATTATTCATTTTAGCTCGCCAGAGGCTCGCTAAATTGAAAAATTATTAGACTCATTTCATAAATCTCATATGAAATAGAAACTCAGAATTTGTTATATCTTGCTGCAGGCCAGGTACCTTCTCAATGAATCAACAAAAATACCAGCTCAAGTACTTATTCAAGTTCACATAAGATCAAATTTGTTGTATTTATGAAAAGACAACATACATCTAGCCTTTATCAGGCAGAATGCTCTTACTTGACCTTTGACCTTACAATGCAGGTCAGTGTAACCTTATTACAGTGCACTTTAAATCTGAAGACAAAACAATTATACTTCAAGTTTCCATAAGATGTCTTTACAACCATTCATATGTAAAGATCCAGACAAGCATTTTTGTACTTATTTGACCTTTGACCTAGAGGTGACAGTGCACAATACACCATCTCTTTATGATGCAGGTATACTTCAAGTTTCATCAAGATATCTTTAACAGTTTAAAAATTTCAAATATAGGTATATTTTATACATCTACTTACTTAGCATTGTACATGCATAGCAGTTCAGATATTTAAAAAAAAAACATGTACAATAAGTAATAGAACTTATAAGAAATGATTTTAAATCATATATAGGAAATAATGAAACTGATTAAGCAGGTGATTTCAGAACATATTAAGAGGTAAAACGGTTATAATGATTTAGAAATTACTAATAGACGTTGTTGCCTTGGACTTTGAATATAAATATCTATAATTTCCTTCTCCATCTGTATTTCAGAACATGGAGAATCGGCTAGCACTGCTGGGAGAGATCGCCTGTGAGAAAGGCCTTGATGCTCAAAACTACAAGTGTGGAGGCTGTAGTAGGCCTGTGGGTCTCAGTAAGTTTACATTGTTAACATATATAGTTAAAATTAAATAAAACACTAAACAATGGCCAGACATTTTTATGCCCCTGTCATAAAGCGCGGTTGGCATTACACATGTTTGTCTTTTCTATCTGTCCATAGCTGCATACATACAACATCTTGATTAGACTTTGCTAGTCCAACATCATAATACATTCTGAAGAATACTACACCAATATATATCAGTATATGTTAACCCTATATCTGTTTGTTTCAGTCTATAGTAACACTATGTCTGTTTGTTTCAGTCTATAGTAACCCTATGTCTGTTTGTTTCAGTCTATAGTAACCCTATGTCTGTTTGTTTATGGTAACCCTATATCTGTTTGTTTCAGTTTATAGTAACCCTATGTCTGTTTGTTTAATTTTATGGTAACCCTTTCTCTTTGTTTCAGTCTATAGTAACCCTAGATCTTGTTTCAGTCTATGGTAACCCTAGATCTTGTTTCAGTCTATGCTAATTATAACCCTGTATCTTGTTGTTTCAGTCTATGGTAACCCTGTATCTTGTTGTTTCAGTCTATGGTTATTATAACCCTGTATCTTGTTGTTTCAGTCTATTGTAACCCTGTATCTTGTTGTTTCAGTCTATGGTAACCCTAGATCTTGTTTCAGTCTATGGTAACCCTGTATCTTGTTGTTTCAGTCTATGGTAACCCTGTATCTTGTTGTTTCAGTCAATGGTAACCCTGTATTCGTTGTTTCAGTCTATGGTAACCCACGCCTGTGTACGTTTGATGGTATGTATTACTGCTTTGAATGCCATGAGAATGATGAATACTACATTCCAGCCTTTATCATCCATAACTGGGACTTCAGGAAACACAAAGGTATGCCATAAAGAGTTTGACTCTTAAACCCCTGAAGACACATTTGAACTCTTCCAATTCAAAGGCTGGAATAGTTCATTATGCAATTTCAGGGGTGAATAAGTTAAACAACAAACATAATTTTTTGCTAATAAATTCAAAAGATGCCTCGATCATGACTTTAAACATTTCACAAACATTTATAAAAGTTTATCGAAAGAAAAAATAATAATTGTCTTTAAAAACCGTGATGTATATTAGTTCTGAATTATTAAAACCTTGTTCTGCTAATAAGTTAATCCAAGGGAGATAACTGTTCCACAAATTAAGATTTTAAATGCAAGATGGCATAGGTTCTATATCGTTAAATACAGTCATATCAGAAAATTTATTACCAAGTGTACATAACTCTACTATCGATCCAGGATATAGGTCTGATCATTCAATGCCAATAATCTCTTTAATTTTTAATGAATTCAAAAAAGGTAAAGGGCTATGGAAATTTAATTCTTCTCTTTTACATGAAATAGATTATCTTGAAATTGTCAAGAAAACTATCATAGATGTCAAAATACAATATGCACTTCCAATATACAACCTAAATAATATAAATATAATTCATGATTCAGAAATTATGTTTCAAATAAATGACCAGTTGTTTTTAGAAATTCTCCTAATGGAAATTAGAGGTAAAACCATTTCATACTCTTCTTATAAAAAAAAGCAACAAAATTTAACAGAAAAAAAAATCATAGATACAATTAAAAATCTAGAAGACAGTAAAAATATTGATTTCATTGAATTAAATGAGAAGAAACAAGAATTGGAAAAAATCAGACTAAAAAGATTGAAAGGTAGTATTATCAGGTCCAAAGTAAAATGGGTGGAAGAAGGGGAGAAACCTACTAATTATTTTTTTAACTTAGAAAATAGAAATTACACCTCAAAAATAATCCCAAAGATAGAAAAAGACAATGGTGATATAATATCGAAACAAGAAGAAATTCTAAGTGAAGTTCAACTATTCTATGAAAAATTATATACTATAGATGATGAAATAGAAGAAGCTAATTTAGAAGAATTTTTAGTAGATTGTGAAATTCCAAGGCTGAATAGGTCAGAAGCATTAAGTTTAGAGGGCAAAATTACTGTACAGGAAGCAGCACTAATTATGAGAAATATGAAAAATAACAAAAGTCCAGGCTCAGACGGTTTTACAGTAGAATTTTTTAAATGCTTTTGGAAACAGTTAAGTAACTTTATAGTACGGTCTATCAATTTTGGTTATATAAAAGGACAATTATCTGTTACCCAAAGACAAGGAATCATAATATGTTTACCTAAAGGAGAAAAACCTAGACAATTTTTAAAGAACTGGAGACCAATATCCCTCTTAAATGTAACTTATAAAATTGCATCAGGCTGTATAGCAAGTAGAATAAAAGCAGTGTTAGATAAATTAATTGATCCAGATCAGACAGGTTTTATTTCTGGGCGATATGTGGGAGAAAACACAAGGTTGATATACGATATTATGGATTACGCAGAGAGAAATGATATACCAGG